AGTGTTCAAAATCGAATTGTGATCTCAGAATTTGGCACACTGGCCCTCCCGGATCCATGCAAGAGTGTTTTTGAACGTTTCATGACAAAGTTTGAGCTGCCTGGTAAGCTGCAGGTGACAGTGATGAGTATTAAGCTATTATGATATATGACAATCCATATCATATCTAAATATATTATATTTATGTCTAAATATAAATCTTGAAAGTAGATTTCTTCGTATTTGTAAGAGGATGTTGAAACTGCTTTCTCCCTTCAAGTGTGTGCTTAGTGTCTGCTACAGTAAGCCACGTGCTTAAATAACTCTGGGGTTTGGTTTCAGGCATAACTGACAACACTAATGTCAACTATGTGCAGTACAAGGGCGATTACTACGTTAGTACTGAGACCAACTTTATCAATAAAGTGGACATTGAAACTCTGGAAAAAACAGAAAAGGTAAAGTATAGGTTAAAAAATGAATAAAATAGATCCTAAAATGTCTTACCATTCAAAGTACTTTTTATAGTAGTAGATATCTGAAGAAGAAATTGGAGGCTTAATCACACAAAAACAAAGTTATTCATTGATTAAGATCACCTTCACCCTCTGCACTGATTAAAATGGCCTGTGGGATTGGTTTTCTTTAAAAATCATCCTAAACTTCCTTAATCCTAATATCTGAAGGCTAGGGTGAAGGAGAACTAGAATGGTACTGATCCACTTTGGTTAGTTCATGTTCTTTCTAGCTATAGCTAGGATTGGACTGGAGGTTGGCTAGACCTATATTGCCTTCACATAACATATTAATTAAAAATAAAATTTCAGGCCGTATTTTTAATTTTAATTCTTATGCTTCTTTTGGACTTTCCTGTGATCTTCGGCAAATCTACTCACTACTAAAATAATTTTGATTTCTCAGAGGTAAGAAATTAGGGCTTAGACTGTAGTTTTCATATCTTATTTTTAAAATATTTGACACATCCCTACTATTTATGCATATAAACAGAGATCTGCCCATGTAACATTTAAAAATCTCTAATGGTCTTAAATTTGCAGGTAGATTGGAGCAAATTTATTGCTGTGAATGGGGCAACTGCACATCCTCATTATGACCCAGATGGAACAGCATACAATCTGGGGAACTCCTACGGGCCACGAGGTACAGTTGCAGTGGAGGTCTTTCTAGAAGTAGCTCGGACTAATGCTCTTCCCAGGGTTCCATTATGGTTAAAATGTAAATATATGAAACATCATTTGAAAGGCTCAAGAAAATCTCCAAAACGGCATGACTGAACTTAAAATATATGATTTATCATTAAGTATCTGTTCTATGGTCCATTTGCACCTATGCTTAGCGGCTGATTTTATGTTTGACCTTTTCAGCTTAAATCACATTTTTATGTTTCATTGTGCCTTTAGTTCACAAGCATAGTAGCGATTTTCAGTGCATATTTCTCAAACTCGAATTTTTAAGCAATACCACATTGTAAGGATAAGAAATTTAGAATGCTGCAGCCAAGAGAGATAAGGAAGGTACATTGTCTATCACACAGGGAAGGAATTTATTTTTGTTCATGGGAGTAATACACTACAAAGTGAATTAAGGTCATAGTGGGGTTACATTCACAACCATTTACATCATGCCTCTTTCCTGGTCATCCACATGCTTCTACAACCACCTCCCAATCTGCTCCATAAAGTTCTAATAGCTAATAATGATAACTGAAATGTATTGTGTACCCATTGTGTGCTGGTGCTAGGCATTTTCCCCTATATCTTCTCATTGAATCCTTATACCAACTCTCTGAGAAAGGTGCTAATATTTCTTCCACTTTATAGATGAGGGCAGTGAACCTTGTGGAGGTTTCGGTCACTAGCTTGGACAAACTTTCAAGTATCTGAGACCAGGCATGACACCAAGCCTGACTCACACCTAAAGGCTTGCTGTTAGTCACTTTGTTAGATCATCTCATTAGTTATTTGTCACTGAGTACAGAAGACTGTATTGGTATTTTTTAATACCAATCTCCACCTATTTACCATTTCTTCTTCCACTTGTTAAGGGCCTTTTCACCAGTCTACACACTCTCTAAGGGCATTCAAATTCTGGTTCCTGTACCTGAATACACGTGTCTCTCTCTGTTTGAAAAGGAATGTGTAAGAATATGTATAGTATCCCCCCTTATCTGTGGTTTTGCTTTCCTCAGTTTCAGTTACCTAAACTGAATATATTAGAGACCACATTGACATAACTTTTATTACAGTATATTGTTATAATTATTCTATTATTAGTTACTGTTGTTAATCTCTTATCATGACTAATTTATAAATTAAACTTTATGATAGGTATGTTTTTAAAGGAAAAAACAGTATATGGTAGATCCCGGCTTGGTGGCACACGCCTGTAATCCCAGCTATTTGGGAGGCGGAGGTGGGAGGATAACTCAAGCCCAGGAATTACAGGCTGCAATGAGCTATGATTGCACCACTGCACTCCAGCTTGAGTGACAGAGCAAGACCCTGTGTCTAAAAAAAAAAAAGTATAGATAGAGTTTGGTACTATCCACAGTTTCAGGCATTCACTGGGGTGCTTGGAACATATCCGCGATGGATAAGGGAGGAATACTATGTTGAATATTTCTGACTGTCTCTCTATTTTAGCTATCAATCAATTTACCATCTACAACCTATGAAGCCTTTGTATAGTAGGTATACCTTAATGGTATACCTTTCGTAGGTAATTGGCTTTGTGAGTTGCTTCTCTTTATATCTCTGTATTTACACATGTGAGTATATACAAAGATGAATACTGCAGGTTGTTTTTTCACTGTCTCACTTAGAGAGAGGGTGCCCTGAACACGCCAACACCCAGTTCTCTCTCCTCTTCTTTATTACCCTAGGTAAGGATGTATTCTTCAAAACTGTTATAGGAAACAGCAAATATCCTTCTAGGTATTTAATAAAATGTTTCACAAATAGATACACTAACTCAGCCATTTTTTGGTCCATCCATCTTTTTTGATCATTAAAGAATCCAAGTTTTTCTTTTTTTCTTTTTTCTTTTTCTGTTTGAAGAGACAAGATCTCACCCTGTCACCCAGGTTGGAGTACAGGAGCATGGTCATAGCTCACTGTAACCTCAAACTCCTGGGCTCAAGCCATCCTCCCACCTTGGCCTCCCAAAGCACTGGGATTACAGGCAGGAGCCACTACTACTGGCCCCCAAAATCCACTTCTTAATAAATTAACTCTATTAACCAAGTAGATCACTTTGTGACTCATTCATAATATGAGAAATATTACTTAACCATTCTGAATTTTATATTCTGAAACAATTAGTCATCAGATCAGTGATTCTCAGCCTTTAGTGTGTCTAAGAATCATCTGGAATACTTGCCAGCAATGTAGATTACTGGGCTTCATTCATCTTCAAGGATTCTGGTTCAGTAGAACTGGAAAGGAGCTAAGAATCTGCATTTTAACATGGTCCCTGGGTGATCTTGGTGCAAGTGGCCCCTGGATCTCACTGAGAAACCCTCCCACCAATCATGAGAGGCTGTGATTGTTACTTTGCCTCGATCTGCTGTTAATATTAATACAAACTTCTGGAGAGTCTCCCAGAGTTAGATTCGGTATTGGGCAAGCAGATCTTTGTGGACATTCCTTTCCTGGGTGTTTCCTGGGTGTTTGTTTGCCCTGCCTAATCCCTCCAAGGTTTTCAGTTCAAACATTAATGTGTTTAAATTCAATGAATTGAATAATTGTCACTTAGTCCAATTGCTAGGGTGGGAAGTTCTATTTTGCTAATCCCAGCAAACATTGAATCTACGTTTTTTTTCTCACTTGATTATTTGGTTCGGTGATAAGTTTTTGAACTGGAACTCAAAGTACATGTAGCTGCACTGAGCTTGACTACCTAGTATACATTTGGGGGGAATTTAGTGATCCTCACTGTAATAAAATAAAATGCTAGTAATTCCTACCTTTAGGAAGTAAAAAACTTTTTAATTGTTTTAGCTTTTCCAGACATTTTTAAAAGGCTTTGAAAAATTAGCCAAAACCTTTAAACATTAATCAGTCCAACTGGTTTTTTTTCCCTGCCCCCCCCAACTGGTTTTTAATACTTATTTAAAATATGTTCTTCATATTAATGAGAGACAGAAATCAGGTACTCTTGGAACTACAAAGCTTGTCTAAGATTTCTTTGGTCGCTGTGTAAAGCATGATGTTTTAGATATAATGGGTTCTCAGAACATATCTTTAAGGCCAGGCACAGTGGCACATGCCTGTACTCCCAGGGCTTTGGGAGGCCAAAGTGGGAGGATCACTTGAGGCCAGCAGCGAGACCAGTCTGGCAACATAGTGAGAACCTGTCTCTACAAAAAATAAAAAAATTAGCTGGGTGGTGGTGCATGCCTATATTCCTAGCTACTTGGGAGGCAGAGGCAGGAGGATCGCTTGAGCCCAGAAGATTGATGCTGTAGTGAGCTATGATAGTGCTGCTGCACTCCAGCCTGGGCGACAGAGTAAGATTCTTTTTCTAAAATGAAAAAATAAAAAAATAAATAAAAAACATATTTATATCCCCCAATCTAGGCCTCCCCAGTATTTTATATCAAGTTGTTTACTTAGTGTTCTTCCTAGGATGTCTAATAGGCGTTATAAAATTGTCCAAAACCAAAGTCCTGATCTTTTCCACTAAACTTTCTCTCTCTCTTTTTTAAATTAGAGATTTAGGGATGGGAGTCTTTCTTTGTTGCCCAGCCTGGACTTGAACTCCTGGGCTTAAGGGATCCTCCCAAGTAGCTGGGACTACAATTGTGCACCACTGTACTCACCTTAAACTTTCTCTTCTTTTGAAGAGTCTTCCCCATCTCAGTTGATGCTAATTCCATCCATCGAGTTTCTCAGGGCAAGAACTTTGGAATCATCCTTTACATTTCTCTCTCACATCCACACCCAGTTGATCAAAAAGTAATTTCAGCAATGCCTTCAAAATATATCCCAAATCCAACCACCTCACACCACCTCCATGGCCACCTCTCTACTTTATGCCACCACCCCCTCTTACTTGAATGACTGAAATAGCCTCTTCACCAGTTTCCCTGATTCTGTGCTTGCCCCACTTCAGTTTCTTCTCAGCACAGCAGCCGGAGTTATCCTTTGAACCCACACCCACCTCCTTGGTGTCACCTCCTAGACTCTCCTCCTTGCTTATTATGACAGGGCCACACTGGCCTTCTTACTTTTATGTGAATACTCCAGACTTGCTCCTGGCTGGAGAATCTTTGCATTTGCTCTTCTTTCTGCCTGAAAAACATTTTTCCCAGATAGCCTCAAAGCTTTCTTCCTCACCTCCTTTATGTCTTTACTGAAATGTTGTCTACTTAGTGAAGATGTCCCAAATCAGCATATTTAAAATTGCAAACAGTAGCCCCAACTTACTGATCACTTCTAATCCCCATTTCCTGGTTTATTTTCCATTTTAGTTCTCACTGTCATCTGATGCATTGTATTTTTACTTATTATAAATGATTTGTAAGAATTTGAGCTTTAGGGCTGGGTATGGTGGCTCACGCCTGTAATCCTAAGCACTTTGGGAGGCCAAGGCAGGAGGATCGCTTGAGGTCAGAAGTTCGAGACCAGCCTCCATCCTACAAAAAATAGAAAAATTAGCCAGATGTGGTAGAATGCATCTGTAGTCCCAGCTACTTGGGAAACTGAGGCAGGAGGATTGTTTGAGCCCAGGAGGTTGAGGTTGCAGTGAGCTATGATGATGCCACTGCACTCTAGCATGGGTGACAGAGTGAGACCCTGTCTCCAAAAAAAAAAAAAAAGGGGGGGGGTTCAGAGGACTGGAGGGAAGGAATTGGACATGGGTGAAATGGAGATCATAGCTGATAGTGGGCAAGAAAGAAGGGACAAACAGAATTTGAGGATATTCCTGCCTGCTTTCTTAACTCTTCCTATGAGGTAGGGATGGAGTTTCTCTGTATGGAGTGAGGAGGTAACCATTTGAGAACATTAGAATACAATGAATCGTTGGTTGATCAGTTTGGGTGTGCTGTTTCAAAACCTTAGCTAATGACTTTTATAAAGGTAATATATTTTTTATATCCAAATCTTTGAAATAACTCTTCATGAAATATGAATGCCACGCTTATTACATAAATCTCTTTACTGCTTTTGCCAAGTCGTCAAGTGCAAGGGTTATCTTTTATTCTAGAATGTATGTAAAACTGTTAAGATAGGATTTTCCATTTTTCAGGTTCCTGCTATAATATTATTCGGGTTCCTCCAGAAAAGGCGGACCCTGGGGAGACAATCCATGGAGCCCAGGTGATATGTTCTATTGCTTCTGCAGAGAGGATGAAGCCTTCTTACTTCCACAGCTTTGGTGAGTCCAGAGATAAGGCAAATTGCAGGGAGCCCTGCCTTAATGTTTCTGCAGCAGAAGAACTAGTTTTGGCAATAGTTTGTCAGCGTATGGTGATAATGAGACTGAGGTTGCATTTTGATGCCAGTTAAATTTATTCTGTTTAGTCACTCTTGACCCTAGCCCGCTAACTGCTTGAAAAGAGATATGCTGTAGTTGCTTTAGTTTAAACAATCATTAAAATATTAATTGATAGAATTCAAAATTTTAGGCAACTTTAAAGCTCACAAATAATAATCATACATAAAAAGGTCTCGACTACATTTTTGGGGGAAATTCAAATTCGTTATGGTTTACTTCAGCTTTTACTCAGAATATTTATTTTCTGAATTCTAAGCTGTTATAGCCAGCCTGCTCCTGGGTCCTTACCCCCAGAAGAAATAGGAAAAGGATTAAGAAATAAATGTATAGTTCATAAAGGACACTTTAATATTAAACTTCTTTACTTTGTTCCTAAAAGAACAATTTGAAAAGAAAAGAAAAAAAGATAAAAAGCAAACTGCTGACATTTGATCCAAGACAGACACAGTTCCCTTTTTTTTTTTTTTTTTTTAAATGTAGGAACAGGAAATATGTACAGCAGAGCTGGGAAACAGTGAAGAAGTATTTCTGGCTGGCATTTGTTAGGTCAGCAGTAATATATCCAGGAATTCAGACAAGTCCTCTAAATGTCACATTTCAGACAACTCTAGTTTGCCAAATAACGTTTTATTATTTGCCGGAACCTTTTAGGAATGACAAGGAACTACATAATCTTCATTGAGCAGCCTCTAAAGATGAATATGTGGAAAATTGCCACTTCTAAAATTCGGGGAAAGGCCTTTTCAGATGGCATAAGCTGGGAACCCCAGTATAATACACGATTTCATGTTGTGGATAAACACACTGGACAGGTAGAGTATTTTGAGTATATTCATCATGAAAATGGCTGGACACAAAGGCAAAATTTCCATATGGTTGATTTTTCACCTTTACTGGACATTACTTGCATATGACACTGTTAATCAAGGATATTACCTTCTTCCTTAGATTGAGGTAGCTACTTAATTATTACAATGGATTTTGCATATTAGAGAATTATAGGAAATGATTTTGTCCTTTTAATTATCTGATTCAATTACAATGGCATCCAAGAAACCCTCTTAGCATGGATTTTTCCATATCATAGTAGTTGTGAAGGAGGGTGTTGTTCATTCAGAGATATTCTGTAACTTTTAAAGTAACGCTTTAATTAGTTGCTTTTATGGCTTCTTAATATGTGAATCTGATAATCCCACCAAAGCCTAAGCATGTTGGTTGATATCTTTTAATACTCCTGATTAATAGCACTATTATATTTGTCTACTTTTTACCTCTCTAAAGACATAGTATCTTAACTACCTGAATTTCATCACAAAAATTTTTAGTAACGAGTGCACTTTTCAAAGAATTAGCCACTTAATTTATCATAAGCATGTATTTTCTATTTAACCATGCAATTGGAGTCCAGTATTTATTTATCCTTCAAAGCATTGTGCCATATTTCATGAAGATTTTTAAGTTAGTTGTAAAGTTGATTGGTCTGTATCAAATAGCCCCAGTTCATTGATTAACATGAGATGAGATGACTTAAGCAAGCAATGCTTAAAACGTATGCACTTCTTACATTCTGGATTCTACTTCTTGTACGTACACTGCGCCTGCCACTTCAAGTGGGGGGAATCCTCTTAATTTTCTTATTTTGAACTTTGTTCCTAAAATAAAATAAAATAAAATAAATCTCTTTTTCATTGCTTGTGTTTTCTCCTGCAGCTTCTTCCAGGGTTGTACTACAGCAAACCTTTTGTTACTTTTCATCAAATCAATGCCTTTGAGGACCAGGGCTGTGTTATAATTGATTTGTGCTGTCAAGATAATGGAAGCAACCTAGAAGTTTACCAACTGCAGAATCTCAGGAGAGCTGGGGAAGGACTTGATCAGGTAAATATCAGGATTTGTCAGTAGTCATCAAAATAATTTTGAATTAGCTAGGATCTGGCTTTGGCTTTGGAATTACCTGTTTTTCGCCCTCTTGTGGCAAATAAGGAGGGAGAATAGTTTTATAGCATCGAAGACACAGCTTTGTCATTTAATTAATACTAAAAAATAATTTGGAGTAGCTTACTTAATGCCTAATAAATAAGAAGCATGGTAAAGAGAGCCAAGATACGTGTTTGAAAGCACTTGTGATTAGTTCCTTATTACACTTAAGCACCAAACATATTATATTTTCCTGGAAGAGCTAGCAAAATGGACCGTCAGTCAGTTCACCTAGATGAAGGGATTCACTTTGTCCTGATAAAGGTAAACATTTTCCCGAATTATGCAATGTAAATTGTCTTCAGGTTTAGTTTTATTTTTCAGCTATAGTTTTATTTGTAAATGTTTTTAAAACGGCACTTATTAAGTTTGCTTATACTTACTAAACTTGCTTATAGCTTTGTGGTGGGTCTTGTTATCTGTGGTGTAAGTCCTTTAGCTCTTTTTTAAGATCATTTGAGGTTTTCATGGCCTTTTGCATTTCCATAAATTTTATGAACTTGTCAGTTATTTGTTTTTTGAAAAATAAATTATATTGTGTATATTTGAGATTTACAACATGACGTTATCGGATAAATATAGATAGTAAAATGGTTTCTATAGTGAAGCAGATTAACATATTTATCATCTTACATAATTGCTTTTTTGTGTTCAGAGCAGCTAAAATCTACTTATTTAACAAAAATCCTGGCTGGGCATGGTGGCTCACGCCTGTAATCCTAGCCCTCCAGGAGGCCAAGCCAGGTGGATCGTTTGAGCTCGGGAGTTCTAGACCAGCCTGAGCAAGAGCGAGACCCTGTCACTATTAAAAATAGAAAGAAATTAGCTGGACAACTAAAAATATATAGAAAAAATTAGCTGGGCATGGTAGCACATGTCTGTAGTCCCAGCTACCCGGGAGGCTGAGGCAGGAGGATTGCTTGAGCCCAGGAGTTTGAGGTTGCTGTGAGCTAGGCTGACGCCATGGCACTTTAGCCCAGGCAACAGAGTGAGACTCTGTCTCAAAAAAAAATAAATAAATAAAATTAAAAAAAATCCCTAATAAGATACAATTTTATTAACTTTATTCCTTATGTTGTACATGTAGATTAGACTTGTTCATCCTACATATGGGCTATTTTGTATCCTTTGACCTACATCTTCCCTTTTCCTCCCCTTCCTCCCATGGTAACCACTGTTTCATTTTCTCTCTATTTGAGTTCTTTTAAAAATATTTGACATATAAGTGAGATCATGGAATATTTTTATTTCTGTGTCTGGCTTATTTCACTTAGCATAATGTTGTCAAGGTCCATCTATGTTTGGTGAATGGCAGGATCTTCTGTTTTAAGACTGAATAATATACGATTATATACGTATACACCACATTTTCTTTATCTATTTATCCATCAATGGACATTTATATTGTTTCTGTATCTTGCTACTGTGAATAATGCTGCAATGAACATGGGAGTGCAGATATCTGCATGAGGTCATGATTTCATCTCTTTTGAGTACATACCAAGAAGAGGGATTACTGGGTCCTACGATAGTTCTACAGTTGACCCTCGAACAACATGTGTTTGAAATTCATGGGTCCACTTACATGTATGTGGATTTTCTTCTGCCCGTCACCCCCGAGACAGCAAGATCAACCCCAACTCTTCCTCCTCTCCAGCCTATTCAACGTGAAGACAATGAGGATGAAGATCTTTAAGACGATCCACTTCCACTTAATGAATAGTAAATATTTTTTCTCTTTCTTAGGATTTTCTTAATAGTATTTTCTTTTCTCTAACCTACTTTATTGTAAGAATACAGCACATAGTACATGTAACATATGAAATATGTGTTAATCAACTGTTTATGTTATCAGTAAGGCTTCCAGTCAATAGCCAGTAGGCTATTGGTAGTTAAGTTTTGGAGGAGTCAAAAGTTATATGTGGATTTTCGACTGTGTGGGAGGTTGGCACCCCAACCCCATTTTGTTCTAGGGTAAACAGTATTTTTAATTTCTTTAGGAACCTCCGTGCTGTTTTCTGTAATGGCTGTACCAATCTATGTTCCCACCAACAGTGTGCTAGGAATCCCTTTCCTCCACATCCTTGCCAACATTTGTTACCTCTTGCCTTTTAGGTGACAGAGTGATACCTCATAGTGGTTTTAATATGTATTTCCCTTATGATTGGTGATGTTGGGCACCTTTTCATATGCCTTTTGAATATTTTTATGATTTCTTTGGAGAAATGTATGTTCAGGTCCTTTGCCCATTTTTTAATCATGTTATTTGTTTTTCTGCTATTGAATTGTAAGAGTTCCTTATAAATTCTGAATATTAACCCCTTATCAGATACGTGGCTTCCAATTATTTTTTCCCAGTCTGTAGGTTGCCTTTTCATTTTGTTGATTGTTTCCTTTGATATACAGAAGCTTTTTAGTTTGATGTCAACTTGTCTGTTTTTGCAAAGGAAAAAAACCTGATTCAGATCGTGTTGCAACGATAGATCAATTTGAGAATAATTGACATCTTTACAATATTGAGTCTTCCAATCATGAACATGGAATATCTGTCCATTTATTTGGGTCTTCTTTAATTTCTCTCAGTAGCATTATAGTTTCAGTGTAAGGATATTACATATCTTTTGCTAAATTTTTTCCTAGACATTTTGTATGTTTTAAAACTATTGTAAAAGGTGTCTTCTAAACTTTAATTTTCTGATTGTTGCTAGTATATAGAAATGCAATTGATTTTGTATATTACCTCATATCCATAGATCTTGCTAAATTCACTTATTAGTTTACACAGTTGATCTGCAGATTATTTTGGATTTTCTATGTACACAATCATGTTATCTGAAAATAATAGCAGTTTTATTTCTCTCTTTTGTTGGGTTTCTTTTGTTTTTTGGGTTTTTTTTTTTTTTTTTGAGACAGGGTCTCACTCTGTCACCCAGGCTAAAGTGCAGTGGTGTCATCGTAGCTCACTGCAACCTCAAACTCCTGACTCAAGAGATCCTCCTGCCTCAGCCTCCCAAGTAGGTGGGACTATGGGCACATGCCACCACACCTGGCTAATTTTTCTATGACAGTTTTACTTCTTTCTTTCCAATACTTATGCCTTTTATTTCTTTTTATTGCCCTATTGTACAAGCTAGGACTTCAAGTTAAATAGAAGTGCTGATAGCATTGGAAAACATTTAATAATTTGCCATCAAGTATAAAATTGCTGTAAGCAGGCCAGGCGCGGTGGCTCACGCCTGTAATCCTAGCTCTCTGGGAGGCCGAGGCGGGTGGATTGTTTGAGCTCAGGAGTTCGAAACCAGCCTGAGCAAGAACGAGACCCCGTCTCTACTAAAATTAGAAAGAAATTAATTGGACAACTAAAACTATATAGAAAAAATTAGCCGGGCATGGTGGCGCATGCCTGTAGTCCGAGCTACTCGGGAGGCTGAGGCAGGAGGATCGCTTGAGCCCAGGAATTTGAGGTTGCTGTGAGCTAGGCTGACGCCACGGCACTCACTCTAGCCCGGGCAACACAGTGAGACTCTGTCTCAAAAAAAAAAAAAAAAAAAAAATTGCTGTAAGTATTTTTGTAGATATCTTTATCATTATTTTAATATACCTTTTTTTTGAGATGGGGTCTCACTATGTTACCCAGGCTGGTCTCAAACTCCTGGGCTCAAGCAATCCTCCCACCGTAGCTACCTAAGTAGCTGGGACTACAAGTGTACACTACCACATTGAGCTACTGGTGCCTTTTGATGAATAGACTTTCTTAATTTAATATGATCCAGTATATCAGCTTTTCCTTTATGACTAATACATCGTGTATATTGTTTTAGACATCTTCTCATGGCAAGGTCATGAACATATTATCCTGTATTATGTTCTAGAAAAATCAAGTATCTGTGTATGTATTATTCTGCTTCTGGAATCTGTATTCTGTTCCACTGGTCTACTTGTGTATGCTCGTGGCAGTACCATATTGTTCTAATTAATATCGCTACCACAATTTTCAAACATGTAGGAATTTTTCTACTTTTTTCTGGTCATCGATTTCTAGTATAATTTTACTATATGATTTTAATCCTTTAAAATTTATTGAGATTTGCTTTATGGTTCAACATAAGATCATTTTTTTAAATGTTCCATGTGTATCTTAAAAGAATATATATTCTGCATTGTGGATGTTTTGTATATGTCAATTACATCATACTGTTAATATCCAAATCTTTATCTTTATTGATCTCTGTTTGTTGTATCAGTTATTGAAAGGTATATTAAAATATACCTTTCAGTATGGATTTTTCTTTTTCTCCTTATAGTTATGTTAATTTGTGTTTTACATATTTGGTGCTCTGTTATTATGTGCATACAAATTTAGAGTTGTTTTACCTCTCTAGTTTATTGAACATTCATCTTTGAGTAATGCTTTTTGCCTCAAAATCTGCTTTTTGCTGACTGCATGCTATCACTTTTCCATCCTTTTACTTTCAATCTTTCTAAATGTGTATTTTGTAAGCAACATATATTTTAAAATCCATTGTGCTAATTCTTAACTTTTCATGGGGCATTTAGTTGAATTGATCACCAATATTTTGGGGTTTAAATATGTCATCTAACTATTTGCTTCCTTTTTGTGCTACTAGTTCTTTTTCTTTCTCATTTCTTGCCTCCTCTGGATTGGTTGAGTGTATTTTATTATTTCATTTCCACCTCCTCATCCCCAATCCCAACCCTCTGTCCATTAACTTGGTAGTTATACATTCTTTTGTTATTCTTTTAGAAGTAATTTTTAGAGATTTCAATGGGCATTCTTGATTTATCAAAGTGTATTATAAATTCGTCCTTTTACTTCTTTTCCAGGCAATGCAAGGACTCTGTGATACTTTAACTCCGCTTACTCTACTTTTGATTTTTATGTTACTGTTCTTGTATATTTTAATTCTCTCTCTCTATTAAACCCTATAAGGCATTACTCTTATTGTTGCTTTATACAGTCATAACTACCCATACTACCCATTTACCCATATCTATACCTTGTTTGTTGCCCTTAATTCCTTCCAGCTTCTCTGAGCTTTCCATCTGGAAACGTTTTCTTCTGACTGATGAACATACTTTAGTATTTCCTTTAGTTCAAATGTGTTGGTGATGGGCTGGGTGTGGTGGCTTACTCCTATAATCTCAGCAGTTTGGGAGGCCAAGGTAAGATGATTGTTTGAGGCCAGGAGTTTGAGATTGCATGGGACAATATAGCAAGACCAAGTCCCTACAAAAAATAAAAAAATTAGCCAGGGTGGTGGTGAATGCCTGTAGTCCTAGCTACTGGGGAGGCTGAGGTTGGAGGATCCCTGAGCCCAGGAGTTTGAGGTTACCACAGTGAACTATGACTGTGCCACTGTACTCGGCAACAGAGAGACTCCACCTTTAAAAAAAAGGCTGATGATGAAAAATCTCTGTTTTTGTTTGTCAGAAGAAATGTCTTTATTTTATCTTCCTTCTTGGAAGGATGTTTGATATAATTGCATTGTCTTCTAATTTCTGTTGAGAAATCAGTTATCAATCAAATCTTTGCTTCTTTGAAGTTGATCTTTCTCCCACCTCCCCCACCCCTGACTGCTTTTAAGATTTTCTCTTCAGTTTTCTGCAATTGTATTATGAGATCTCAATATGCTTTTCTTTTCATTTGTTTTACTTGGGGTTTTTAAGGATTCTTAAATCTATGGTTTGATGTCTATTATTACTTTTGAAAAATTTCAACCATTATTTCTTCAAATATTGCATCTGGTAAATCCTTTCTCTCCTTGCTTTCTGGACTGCAGTAGACATATGTTACTCCTTTTTACTCCATCCCTCTGTCCCTTATGTTCTTTTAGTATTTTCCATCCTTTTCTAAGCAAGGGTTTTTTTTTTATATTTTCTTCTTACCTATCTTACTGCTTAAACGTTCTCTCTTTAACTGTATCTTTTCTGCTGTTAAATCTAATCACAAAATTCTTAAATTAATTGCATTTTTCAGTTCTAGAATTTTGATTTGTTTCTCTTTTACAATTTATAGTTTTTTGCCACAATTCTCAATTTAAAAGAATTTCCTCAAACATATTCAGAATAAAGTCTGATAACTCTATTATCTGGATCCTCTGTGGCTCTGTTCCTATCATCTTGTTTATTTTGGTTTTTAATCATGTTGTCTTATCTTTTCATGTGCTGGTTATTTATCATATGCAGAATATTGTGTTTGAAAATTTGTAGAAATTTTGAGACACAGGGTGATGTTATCTTCCTCTAGTGAAGATTTTCATTTACTTACATAATTTCAAGAAGGATTCTGTCCCTGCAAGAGCTGGACTATTTCATTTAGCATACTTTTTTCAAGGTTCATCCATGTTGTAGCATGTATCAGAATTTTATTCCTTTTTAAGGTTGAATAATAATCCATTGTATGTATATACTACATTTTGTTTATTCATCTGTTAGTGGATATTTGGGTTGTTTCCACCTTTTGGCTATTACAAATAATGCCACTATGAATACTGGCATGCAAATATCTGTTTGAGTTCCCATTTTCAATTCTTTTAGGTATATATCTAGAAGTGGAATTGCTGGATCATATAATAATTCTATGTTTAACTTTTTGGGGAATTGCTAAACTTTTCCACAGTAGCTGTACCATTTTTCATCCTTATTAGAAATGCACAGAGTTCCAGTTTCTTCATCAACATTTGCTAGTTTCCATTTTTTTTTTTTAATAATAGCCATCCTAATGGGTGTGAAGTGGCATCTCATTGCAGTTTTCATTGGTGTTTCTCTGATGACTGATGCTGTTGAGCATCTGTGTAGATCCCTAAGAGAAAGGTTGCCCCAGTATCTAGGCCATGTCTGTGGATTTCTTTTTCTCACAAACCTTGCCCCAGTGTTCTCCTCTGCCTTTTTAGCTCACCAGTGCCTTCAAACAGCTGTTTTAAATATTTTTTCCAGCTTTTCTAGCTGTTCTCAATGGCGTAGTTTGATCCACGTTACCTAATCCACCATTATTTGAAGTTTCTTTTTGTTTGGCTATGGTTTTGCAAAAGGAAAAAAAATTTAAATATAATTAAATGTGACTTTTAAAAAGCTAATTCTTTATGAAGCTTATGAATGGCACTACATCTTTACTCAGTAAAAACATTTCTATAGGAGATGGAGATCATGTGGGCTAGGTATATGGGGGGAAATGGTGTGGTTTGTTTTCCAACTCACAATATTTCAGGACGGGAAAATATGCTTAAAGCACATATTGTCAGGAGAAATGCACTTCTTTTATTTAAGTCTCCTGCTTAAACATCATTTTCACAGAGAGGTTTTGTTGGGGGCTCCCAGGATTACTCCTAGGTTTGATGATTTGAAATGAGGACTCACGGGACTCATATAGTCATACTCATGACTCTGATGACAGTAAAAGGATACAAAGCAAAATCTGCAAAAGGAAAAGGCACATGAAATGAAGTCTGGAAGAAAACAGGTGCATGCTTCCAAGAATCCTCTCCAGTACAGTCACAGTGGATGCACTTAATTCCTCCAGGAACTAGTTGTGACAACGTGTGAAATGTAGTGTCCCAAAGATGCTCACCCAAGCCTGGTTGTCCAGGGTTTTTATTGGGGATCAATCATGTAGGCATACAGCCCCTACATGACTAACCTTAGTTTATGAAGTTCCAGATGATTATAAATCACACTGTTAGCATAAACCATCTGCACAAACTACTACAGTGCGACTGAAGGCTTCACATATGCAAGAACACTCTTATCAGACAGAACATCCCAAGAACTCAGTTCCCAGGAGCCAGCCAAGGGTCAGTCGTGAAAACAGGCCTTTCTTGAGAATGTGCAGTGTTTGAGCAACCCAACCCTGCTAAGTTGTTCCTTTTCTGCACAGAAGCCTACCCTGACCAAACCTGAAGAAGAGAGCAGCGCATGTTATTCTCTAGTCCCTCCCCATTTTGCTATATAGTCATATGTTTATTTGATGCTAATTAAATAACATAAATATTTAATAATTTTTAAATTTGTTTATTGTCATTCTTTCTCTACTAGAATATAAAAGTTCTATGAGGCCAAAGACTTTGCTTTATTCACTGTTGTATCCTTGGTGTCTAAAATAGTGCTTGGCATATAGTAGGTACTCAACAAATATTTGTTAAATAAATGCAAGAATGGAAATTATCATTTATGTAATTATTAATACTTAGGAATGCCAATAATGTTGACTGGGTCTAAATTATTGGGACATGCTATTATCCTATGAATGACAATTTTTCATCGGTTTCTTTCTCCCTCCTGAACAGGTCTATAATTCAACAGCCAGATCTTTCCCTCGAAGATTTGTTTTGCCCTTAAATGTCAGTTTGAATGTCCCTGAGGGGGAGAACCTCAGTCCATTGTCCTATTCTTCAGCCAGTGCTGTGAAACAGGCTGATGGAAAGGTATGCTATGAACAGACATTAGACTAAGACTAATGTTAGTAAGTCTAACTTTACTGATGTTACTTTATTCATTGACTGTTCTCCACAGCGTTTAGTGCCCAATAAGTTTCATCACATTCAGCTGAGCATGGAATGTTGTTTGCATAAGAATTGCAGAAACTGGGTGGGAATGAGCACCATGTTTATCTTCCTTCACGTGTTTTGAAACAGAGATATGCAACTTTCTAATGGTTGTGGGATGTGTAAGTGTTTGAGATTGGCACCGGTAATTCCTACCTTTTAGATAATATGTGCTTACCACCCAGGCTTATCATTGTGCAGCTATCAATGTCTTAGCTTTAGTAAAATAAAAAGTGTATTTCCACCTCCTATGCCATTTGACATCTTATTCACAAAACCGGATAATCTTTTATGCATTCATATGTATGACAGAAAGAGGAAAAATATTTTAAAAAGACATAGAAACTCAGTGTCCAAGCCCTGTCACAAACTCTTATAGAGTATTAGTGCTCTCACTGACCTATGTAAGAAGAAAATAACTGAGAATTAAGCAACCACTACAAATTCTTTTGGAATCTCTTTTAGATCTGGTGCTCTCATGAGAATCTACATCACGAGGACCTAGAGGAGGAAGGAGGCATTGAATTTCCCCAGATCAACTATGGCCAATTCAGCGGCAAAAAGTATCATTTCTTCTATGGCTGTGGCTTTCGGCATTTGGTGGGGGATTCTCTGATCAAGGTCGACGTGGTGAACAAGACACTGAAGGTGATGAAAATCTCTTTGCTTTTCTGAACTTTTCAAAAACCTATTCTTCCTTTTGAATTTGTTTTGTTTAAGGTAGCTCTTGAGATCATTTAATAGTTAAGCAGCTCAGCCATTTTTTTTTTATTAAGTTTGAAAACCATGAAATCATCTAAGTTAGGGGCATGCTCCCTGTAGGGAATCTAAATGGACCCCAAGCCCAGAAAAATAATTCTGTGCTGATCTTGATGTTAATTTGGGAGAAACCATGGGGTTAAGTTTGTTGGGGCGCCTGTATTTCAGGTTGTTGGGAAATTATAATTACACAAATTATGTTTGATGGTGATGGAGTCTGGGGCTGCAAAATCTCCCTCTCTCTCTTTCCTATATTCTACTTAGCAAGCCTGATTCTTTTACTGTTGGAATATTCTATTGACAGCCAAATTCATGCTTGGAGTGACAAAAGCTATAGAAAACTTCCTGCTCACAACTGGCCTTTTATCAAATACTTTTTTGGGGACTTGCAGGTTTGGAGAGAAGATGGCTATTATCCCTCAGAACCTGTTTTTGTTCCAGTACCGGGAGCCACTGAAGAAGATAGTGGAGTTATTCTTTCTGTGGTGATTACACCAAACCAGGTAAATGTATTTCCCTGTCACTGGTCAGAAGGAAAAGTAGCACTGTGCCATCTGATAGATCAAGGATGCATATTGATGCTGTCCATAGTTTACTTTGATTCCAGTATGGCATTTTCTCCCTTCTCTTCCCTCCTTACTATTTACATATACTTTATCACAATTCATATTTTATTATTGTTTTAAAGTTCTATTTGTAAGACCATAATAATAATTTACATTTGCATATGGATTTGTTATTTTCAAATTACTTTGATACATATTATTTTATGTAATCAAAACAACTTTGTGGGATACCATTTACATGTGGCATTTATAATGTAAATTATAGTTGAAAGAGACTTGCGTGAGATCTCATAGTGGTAAAACCAGTAATATTTTATTTTTTTGAGACAGGGTCTCACTCTGTTGCCCAGGCTAGAGTGCAGTGGCATGGTAATAGCTCACTGCAACCTCCAATGCCTGGGCTCAAGCGATCCTCCTGCTTCAGCCTCCCGAGAAAGTGGGAATACAGGCGTGTAACACCACACCTGGCTAATTTTTAAATTTTTTTGTAGAGACGGAGTCTTGCTATGTTGCTCAGGCTGGTCTCAAACTCCTGGCCTCAAGCAATTCTCCCACCTTGGCCTGCCAAAGTGCTAGGATTACAGGCATCAGCCACTGCGCCTGGGCTAAAGCCAGTATTTAAATCTAAGTCTTCTGACTTCTAGTCTAATGTTTATACCACCATCTGTGTTGCCAATTTCAATGAAATGACTTCAAAGTCCAATATCATAAGCCCTGGCCTAGTGTCTTAATAATGTTATTTACTACCTGATTTTTTACTTAGAGCAATCTTATGACAAATAGGTTCACTTTGAATACCAGCTTTGATCAATTATTAGTGGCTGCCTGGGGTGTAGAATTCTGAGGCCTTTTAATGGTCTAGTGGGAAAAGTGCTGTGATCAATTAGTGATTTCTGCCATGGGCCTAGGAGGATTTTGTCTTCATGGCATGCACTTGCCACTCCTGTAATTAGATCAGGGTAAATCTCTGCCTGCCTTGCAGTGCTGCCCTTTGCATAGCTCCAAAGTAACACAAAATGGAGGCATTTCTAATTTGGAAGAAAGAGTTTCTACAATAGGTCTCTTAGGAGATTGGAAAGGAGTAGGCAAAAAGGTCATTAAACTCAAAGAAATCCTATGAAGGTGATTGATATAAACAACTTAATTTCTTTGCTCTAGGTATGAACCTCTTTAGCCATGACTTCCTTTTCAGTCCAGTTCAGAGATTCAGAAAACATTTAGTGAGTGGATAGGCAAGGCACTGTGCTAGGTGCTGGGGGTAGATATGAAGATGTGCAAGACATGGTCTCACCATTAGCAATTTTACAGCCCAGTCGAGGAGACAGATTTTTGATTTAAAAAAGAAGGAATTTTCAGTGTCGTCTTTCCTTTTCTAGAATGAAAGCAATTTCCTCCTAGTGTTGGATGCCAAGAATTTTGAAGAACTGGGCCGAGCAGAGGTACCTGTGCAAATGCCTTATGGGTTCCATGGCACCTTCGTACCCATCTGATAGGACAACCACAAGGTCTGGAAACTAAGTTTAAAACCAGTGCTCTATACAAAAAGAGAGCAAAAAAATGGCACCCTACCTCCCAAACCATAGACATTTGCTGTTAAATTTCTATTAAACAAAATTCATGAGATAATTATGGTTTTATTTTTTCTTAAGGCTCTTCCTTGAAATCATTAAGGAGGTGTTGAAACAATCTTTTGAGTTGAGTTTTAAATTTACTTTTATTGGATATATCTTCCTCTAGGTAATAATAAGAATACATGAAAGAAAAACTAAAACAAGGTCATTACCACCGCCAGATAGGTGGGTGACAGAGGTCCTAGGAGAAGAAATACTAATGATCATAGGTAGTAGACTGTGAATACAGATCAGAAGAGCACCTGTTCTTTTCATCACAGTCTGCCTATTACCGGTTGTCCCTAAGGTACTCAGAGGATAGGAAGCCAGCTATAGCATGTTTGGGGGCTTCTTCTAAACTGCCTGTTTCTCTGCTGTCCACAGCAGATGCTACTACAGCTGCACAACCCTCCTATGGACCACCCACTACCACTCCCCACCCTGCCCACATCCCCACCTTGGGAGGTGGTCGTTTTGAGGGACATCACTAAAATCAGTCACTTCTCCAGGTGTACAGTCCTCCAGAGACTGGTGAAAAGCCAGTAGTTCTTCATTTAATTGGGCAACAGGTGGCACTAGAGACCACATAATCTCTACCTTTCAAAACCCCACC